GGAATTTAGGATTTAATTATATCATGATACAGAATGGATACATTCTTTTAACTTGAATTTAGGATTTAATTACTGGAATTTAGGATTTAATTATATCATGATACGGAATGGATACATTCTTTTAACTGGAATTTGGGATTTAATTATATCATGATACAGAATGGATACATTCTTTTAACTTGAATTTGGGATTTAATTATATCATGATACGGAATGGATACATTCTTTTAACTGGAATTTTGGATTTAATTATACCATGATACGGAATGGATACATTCTTTTAACTTGAATTAAATATTATTAAGAGTATACATTTTTGTCGAGCCTTCGACTTTTGTCGAAAAAGCGAGACATAGCGATCCTACATTCCGTCGGCGTTGTCGTCGGCGGCGTCCACAAATATTCACTCTGTGGTTAAAGTTTTTGAAATTTTAATAACTTTCTTAAACTATCCTGGATTTCTACCAAACTTGGAAAGAAGCTTGTTTATGATCATAAGATAGTATCCAGAAGTAAATTTTGTAAAAAAAAAATTCCATTTTTTCTGTATTTTACTTATAAATGGACTTAGTTTTTCTGCCAGTTAACATTACATTCACTCTGTGGTTAAAGTTTTTAAAATTTTAACAACTTTCTTAAACTATCCTGGATTTGTACCAAACTTGGACAGAAGCTTGTTTATGATTAAAAGCTAGTATCCAGAAGTAAATTTTGTAAAAAAAAAATTCCATTTTTTCCGTATTTTACTTATAAATGGACTTAGTTTTTCTGCCAGTTAACATTACATTCACTCTGTGGTTAAAGTTTTTAAAATTTTAACAACTTTCTTAAACTATCCTGGATTTGTACCAAACTTAGACAGAAGCTTGTTTATGATCAAAAGCTAGTATCTAGAAGGAAATTTTGTTCCATTTTTTCCGTATTTTACTTATAAATGGACTTAGTTTTTCTTCCAGTTAACATTACATACAGTCTGCAGTTTAAGTTTTTAAAACATTTATTAGATTCATAAACTATCCTGGATTTTTACCAAACTTGGACAGAAGCTACTTACAATCAAAAGATAGTATAGAGAGGAATATTTTTATTAATTTTTTTCCTCATTTTTGCTGAGCCTGTGATTAACAGCAAAAAGTAGGCGAGACACTGGGTTCCGCGGAACCCTTACGAATTTTTATTTCTGAGGATTGTTTTGATATATGTAAGTGAACAGCAACCAACAACACAAACAAAAAAATGTCAAAAGATTAGTTAATACATTTTAAATAAAGATAAATAATGTTAATACCTTTTGTCCTTCATTTGGAAATTTCAAGATAAAATAATATGGAAATTTATAAATGAAAAGGAATAATGATATATTCCCTTTAAATTTTAATAAAACCATAATTCATGTCTGATGTTAAAGATAAAGTTAAAAAATGGTGAAATAATTTTTCAAATTTTCAAATTTTAGATCAAATTGCCCTTAAAAATCAGACGTAGAACATATATGTATCAGCTATTCCTAAACCATTTTACAGATTTTTAAAGGAACTTTCAGAACAGAACATTTAAGATACCAATTTCGTAATGCAAGGTTTATCAGTATAATTTTGGGAATTTCCCAAAGAAAAGGATGTTAGTCTGAGAAAGATCTCCAACCCTTCCGGATACATTATTCTGACTCAGAGTCAACTAGACTTTGCTCTTACTTTTAAATACTACTTGCTTAAGGGAGAAGCAGCAAATACCCCTTTTAAAGTCTTTGGTTTGTCCATACATGGGATAGAGCCCTTTACCTCCAACACACCAGGCAAGCATAGGACCATTGAGGAGGTTATAATTGGTAGTGAAAAGTATTCTTTTTAAATTATTCATATTCATTTTATTTTTGGTTCATTTGTTCATTCTGTTGTTCAATTCCTAGTAGTAACAGAAAACATCAATTTTTATATTTGGTTTAAAAATATTTAATTGAAAAGTATGTCTCCATGCAAAATTATCCATCCCTCTACAGGTTGTATCTTAATATAAAAAACATCTTATTCTTAAAGTATCAACACTAACCATTACTAACAATTGGTACTTAATTAAATAGGTTGGAAGGATGGAAGACAAGAGAGTGAGAGAAATGAGAGGGGAGGGGATAGGGGAGAGAGAATAGAGACTGATGGAGTGAGTTTTCAGATAAGGGTTTAAGGTACTAGTCTTGTAGAGGGATAGGTTTTTAATATCTTCTTTTAGAAAGAGAACTTCTTGTTAACAATATGAATATGAGTAGGAATGTATACAAACCAATTTTTATTTTTGGTATGCAAATCCAGTCTGAAAGTCTTTGTTTTAAAATAATGGGTCTATTACATTTCAAAATTATTTCCAAGTCTGTAAAATTTTTGTGACCCCAGTGGCCAATCAAGGGGTTGGGGTTGGAACCCCCTTTTTTTTTTAATGATAATGCATTTGAATGGGGATATATATTTAAAACCCGCACTTTCTCCTGGGTTGGATCCCCCTTTTTTTAAAGATTGCTGGTTCCACCCCTGAACCCTTTCTCCCTTCCTATTTGGTAAAGACATATAAGATTGTGTCCATAGTACACGGATGCCCCATCCTCACTATCATTTTCTATGTTCAGTGGACTTTGAAAATGGAGGAAAAAACTCTAATTTGGCATTAAAATTAGAAAGATGATATCATAGGAAACGTGTGTACAAAGTTTCAAGTTGATTGGACTTCATCAAAAACTACCTCATCCAAAAACTTTAACCTGAAGCAGGACGAACGAACGGAGGCACAGACCAGAAAACATAATGCCCATAAATGAGGCATAACAAATGTTTGCATTGGAAAACTCCCTTAATAATTTGTATAACAACAGCCAGTCTAGCCTGTCATAATTCAGTAACTACAAGCTATTTATCTATTCTGGAAAGATATGACTGTTTCAACGCCACTTGTAGTACTCCTGGCTATTACAAGGCTGCCAGTTTTTATTGGCAGAAGCCATATAAATGGCACCTGAAAAAACACTGGTTTGAGGTATTGCTGATTAAAAGTGTAGATGTCTGAATAAACAAAAAACATCCTTTATCATGTTTTAGATTAAAAAGTAATTATATCCAAATTTCAAATTTAGTTTCAGCACAAACATTAAAGATAATTGTTGCAGAAGCCCTTTTTATTTAAAGGAAACAATATAAGATTTTAAATTTTGAATCTTCCAAAATAAATCTTTTCAGTTTTGTAAAGTGGTACATTGTGAAATTTATAATTAAAAAAACAAATCTATTCTAATGATAAGGGACATAACTCTCCAATGGTAAAAAAATACTAAACCCATCAAAATAATGTAAATGCTTAAAGCAGCTTTCAGATTTGTTAGTTTGTAAATACAAAATTAGCCTCCTCCTGGCCAAATGAAACTTAATTAACTTTGTAATAGAATTTTCCATGCCAAAAACACTTTTATTGGATAAAAAATATGAAGTAAAAACAGTGACCTTTATAATCTTAATTAATAAGCTTTTTTGGTACGAGAAAAAAAATTATCAAAGATACTTATTATTTGGCCACAACATTTAATAATTTTTTGGACACCTATTATCACAGAATATAATTTTTGCCATCTTAATTATATTGTTAAGTGTGTTGTTGGCATGCTGTCTCATTGAAATATACCTCAGATCCTCTTTTTATCTTATTCAAGATTTTCAGAAAAGCAATTTAAAAATCTGTTAAAGGTTTATTCTCTAAATAAATAGAATAATTGGTCCAGTGATCAATGGAGAATGTAAATGAGATGTGGTAAAAATGCCAATGAGATGTGCTTAGAATGCCAATGAGATGTGCTTAGAATGCCAATGAGATGTGTTAATACAACTAATGAGATGCGCTAAGAATGCAAATGAAATGTGGTAAAAATGCCAATGAGATGTGCTTAGAATGCCAATGAGATGTGTCAATACAACTAATGAGATGCGCTAAGAATGCAAATGAAATGTGGTAAAAATGCCAATGAGATGTGGTTATAAAGCTAAAGATATGTTGTAATAATGCTAATGAGATGTGGTAATAAAGCTAATGAGATGTGGTAATAAACCTAATGAGATGTGGTTATAAAGCTGATGAGATGCGCTAAGAATGCAAATGAGATGTGGCTATAAAGCTGATGAGATGTGCTAAGAATGCTAATGAGATGCGCTAAGAATGCAAATGAGATGTGGTTATAAAGCTAAAGATATGTGGTAATAAAGCTAATGAGATTTGGTTATGAAGCTGATGAGATGCGCTAAGAATGCAAATGAGATGTGGTAATAGAGCTAATGATATGTGGTAATAAAGCTAATGAGATGTGGTAGTAAAGCTAATGAGATGTGGTAATAATGCTAATGAGATGTGGTTATAAAGCTAAAGATATGTTGTAATAATGCTAATGAGATGTGGTAATAAAGCTAATGAGATGTGGATATAAAGCTGATGAGATGCGCTAAGAATGCAAATGAGATGTGGTTATAAAGCTGATGAGATGCGCTAAGAATGCAAATGAGATGTGGTAATGGAGCTAATGAGATGCGCTAAGAATGCAAATTAGATGTGGTAATAGAGCTAATGATATGTGCTAAGAAAGCTAATAAGATGTGGTAATAAAGCTAATGAGATGTGGTAATAAAGCTAATGAGATGTGGTAATAATGCTAATGAGATGCGCTAAGAATACTAATGAGATGTGGTAATAATGCCAATGAGATGTGGTTAGAATTCTAATGAGATGTGGTTAGAATGCCAATGAGATTTAGTAAGAATGCCAATGAGAACTATCCACCAGAGATTGAGCCACAAGGCTGCAAGAACTATCTTTCTTTCATGTGAATTTTGTGTATACTTTGTAAGCTCCCCTACAGCTGATAATTAACATTTTCATCAAATTATGATTTAAATTATCCTTTCTTTAAATAAAATTATTTGGTAATTAAACTCTTTTAAATAAACATTGAAAAAGCTTCTAAATTTTCAGAAAAAATTACATTAAATAGGCACTTTTGAATTTTTTGCCTATTTAAAAAAAATATACCAGTAATGGCACAAGGATAGATGATGTGTGGAATCAAATAGGTAACAACTATAGTGATAATGAAATATTCTAATAATAACCAGTTTTTTAATGTTTTGACTTAATGGACTTATTGTATGATGATATATGCGACCAGTTAGAATAGTGGACAATGAAATATTCAAACATGGAACTGACTGAAGTTAATAGACTTAAAATTCAGAATTGAAACCAGCAAGTGAATTATTTACAACGGCCTTGGAACCAGCAAGTGAATTATTGACATTTATTTTGATGTGACCAGTATTCATGTGGATGGACAGTACTAGTGGACTATAAACTGATAAATCTCACAGAAAGGCACATCACAACTGAGTCTGAAGCTGTTACATACAAAAGACAAGGTAATTATACTAAAAAAAAACATGGCAACATTACTCTTGATTACATGTTGCAATTAACATTATAGCTCTTATTTTATTTTTGGTGTGTTAATTCACTGTGTTTTCAGAAAAGCTATCAAGATAAATGCATAAAGCCAAAGGTCTTCATTAATATATTCTGATAAAGTGTACAACCAAATGTTTTTGCACCGGTAGTTTTTGCATTGGAGCAATAAAAAAAAAATTCATCCAGAAAATAGATTTAGTAATACAAACCCCACCACAATGAAGGATATATACTCTTACTTGCTCTGAATAGAAAATAAAGGATAAGCAGCTTTGACTCCACTGGTAGCAACTGTTGTGAAAAACTACTCATTACAAGTCAAAAATTGACCTGTAACATTAAAATCATGCATAACCTTAAAAGAAATAAAAATCTGAAACAGTACTTTAAGTTTGCACAGCCCAGTAAAGTACTTAGTGGAAAATTGTCCTACTTTGACGGGGGCCTCGGTGGCCGAGTGGTCTAAGTAGTTACTGCTGTAATCACTAGCCAGTCAACACTGACTCCAATCTTAATTGACTAGGATTGTCAGTTTTCCAATCGAAAGTCAGTGGTTTTCTCCGGGTACTCCGGCTTCCTCCACCAATAAAAACTGGCCGCCACGAAATAGCCCAAAAGCGGTGCTTAAAAGTGGCGTTAAAACACCAAAAATCAAATCAAATCAAATCCTACTTTGACTTATAATTAAAATTCCATCTAAGCATTTTTAAGGATGTACTTAGGTGATATAAGGTAAAAATGAATAAATCAAGCATTCAAAATTGATACTTTAAGCTGAAAGAGTATTAGTTAAGGATCAAAATAAACTAAAAATATTGATAGGTCATGGAGCTCCTTTTCGAGATATTTGATTTATAAAATATGGCAGGAAAAGGCTGGCTCAGACTTTTACCTTATATTTACATTTGTATAATTTGGGTCTCAAATCAAAAGAAAAAAAATCAAGAATCTGCTTAAATTTTGTAAAATGACCTTTTATGAGCTATTAAGTCTTATATGAAAAAATAAATGGGTGTTATGGGGCAAAATATTTTACCTTGTATCGTATCGAAAAACACCAAGGAGTCCGAACATTTAACACAAATTCCAAAACCTCACCTAAGTACATCCTTAAGGATGTGACTGTACATGATTTTTTCTTCTCCAGATATCCAGGAAATAAGAATTGTATGTGATCTATTTAAAGATCTTAGGACAGTAGGACCTGGAAGTACTATATTACCAACTTCAAGGTAAGTTTACAGTAAAAACAAAATGGTTATGAAATATTGCTCCTGCAATTATACAATGGAAACTTATCATCATACCTTTTTTATCCATAATACTGTTAATATAAAAAAAAAAAGAGAAGATGTGGTATGATTGCCAATGAGACAACTCTCCACAAGAGACCAAAATGACACAGAAATTAACAACTATAGGTCACCGTACAGCCTTTAACAATGAGCAAAGCCCTGAGCCACACAGTCTTGACCAAAATATTTGAAAGTTTGAAATTTTGATAAGAAACATTGATACTAGCAAGTTTAAATACTCTCGTTTCTGAGTTATATGTTATGTTTAATGCTTATAAATGTGATGCAAAAATTAAAATGGCATGGAAACTTAAATCCTTTAAGGTGGTATGGGAGAGTCTAAATTAAAAAATGATAGAATTTGTTCATACTTTGCCAAAGCGTAGTAAATATTTAAATATGTTCAAAAATATAATAAAAATGATAGGTCACAGCACATTTTCTCAAGCTACAGGTAGTGACAAAATGACACATTTTGTATGGATTATACAGGAAAAAACATCATTATGTGATTAGAAGCTAAACTAAATGATAGAATTGTAAAATAGAATACGAAAAGTTGGCTTTTAGAAAATGCTTTGAGAATATCAAAAGAAAAGATAGGGTCACAGTGTGTTTTATCTGGCTAAAATTCAAAATAGCAAAATTCCAAGTAGATTCCTTCAGAAAATGCACTATTTCAGAGTTACTTCACTTAAAATGCCAATTTGAAATTATTAAAATTCAAGCAGAAATAATCTTGTTAAAATATTAATATTTATGAGTTATAATCTTATAAATTTGTTCTTTGAAATGCAAATTCACATAAGTTATCTACATTTCTGCATCTAATTTTGCTAACTTGATTGAAAATCTGGACCTTAGATTCTCTGTTTTTTACAATCCAAAATGGCGAAAGACAACCATACCACCTTAAGCATGTTCAAAATATGGCCACAGACCACAATTAAATTCCCCTATTAGTTCTTTATAACGTTTTGTTTCATTAAAAAAATTGCACCTTGCATTTTTGTCAAATCTTTTGTGTGTGTAATGTATAGTACTAGTCCAAAAATATATCCAAAATTCAGAAAGATTGAACCAATGACTCTTACAAATTTAGCCAATACACATCCATACCCCTATGGACAAGTCAAGAGATGTTCCGAAAACTCTAAATATCACCTTTTTGCACCTGGCCTAATCACTCTTTCCATATCAAAATCAGTTAAAATACAACATCCAAAAGTTTATTTCACCTCTCTTCTTTTATTTCCACCCAAAAAAAACTAAGAAATGAGTGAGGAAGGGAAAGAAAAAAATTTAAGAAAAACTACACTCTAATTAAAAGGAACTATATTCGTGGACAACGAAAAGCGGAATCATTAATTGTGGTCTTGGGCCATATGCATGATATATTGATCACTGGACATTAAGCATGCAACAATCAATCAATCAATCCTATATGTATATATGGTATGAATCACTTCTGACATATCAAGAATTAAAAATGTTATTTTGTCAATTTAATTGCCATGTTTTAATTGACATTTTGTTGTTTCTTAGTAGATTAACTGAGCTTGAGAAATTACAAATGAACTGATACAGAAGAAGAGACTTTGCCATGTGGATGAACTTGGAAACAATTATTGACAAACAATATAGTGTATTAGTATTCTTGTAAAAATCAATAGAGAAAGAGAGAGAGAGAGGAAGGATAGGAGAGAGTCAGTTGTAAAGATTTATGTCTTTTTAACCAGACATGTCTATTACATTAGAATTTCAGAGGCCTACAGTTCTCCCTTAAATGATCATAGTTAATACATGAAGTAGTTAAAGTAGAGGACTTTAGTGTGACCAGTGAGAACAATCAAGCAGCTGCCATTGGTTTAAATCTCTTTTTTCGAAGATGTTTTGGTTACATTAGAATAAATCTGTGAGGAATGACAAAAAAAATGTAAAAAAAATAATTTGTGGTATTTTGTACAGTTTCATTATGCAATCTTGAATACATTTATGATTACTATTTATAAAGAAGTATTATCATTAGAATGAGGATGGAAAATGTTTAAACATTTATTTGAGACAGAGTTTTGCATTATTCCATTAAAATAATTAAATCCTTTTTGTGTGAATGAAGGACAAACAGGGAAAACAGACAAAGCTGCTATTCTATGAATTTTAAATTGTATTTATTTACATTTGATTGATTAGTTGAAGATTAACTACAAGTATTCAGCATAGTACAAAATTAAGGATGCACTGCAAGTGTATATTATCTTTATAGTTATCATCACACTATGTCCAATCTAGATGTACAACACTCTTTTTTATAGTGTTCTGTAAATTAATAGGAACACCAGTTGTGATGAATGGGAAGACTGGCAGGCTGAGAAATGGGTATAAGGGGAGGGAATACCCCTGCTTATCTTTTCATACTGGTTAGTTCCTTTGGTAAAGGTTTTGTACAAATGTTGTTCATATCAGATGTATACAATTTGAAGAGAGTTGTTATTTGGAGCTCTGTAAAAAAAAAAAAAAAAAAAAAGAATAGTAATCAGAGTTCTAGATAATAACTGGGTGGTATGAAATGTGGGTTAAATATTTTCGGTATATTTACAATGATTTTTTTTTTTTTTATGCATCTGATATTTTTTGTGTATAAAATGTTTTGTTATTTTTTACAGAATTGCTTTAGTTGCCTTCCTGACTAACATTTATTTTGGTGAATGGAGAGACTAGCAGGCTGAGATTGAGGGGAGGGATTACCCCTGCTTTTCTCTTCGTACTTGTAAATTCTGTCACTGCACGGAAGGTCAACAATTAAGAATATATAAGTTATCATTTTTTTATGTATCAATGTAAGTTAGATAAGTTATATCAGATGTATATAAAGTAAGATGAAAGTATTCTTTAGAGCTCTGTAAAAAAAAAAAGCTTGTAAACAGAGGTCTAGATAATGCATTATAAGGGGTTTGGTTTGGCATGGGGATTTCAAATTTTATTTACAAGTCATCATCTACAAAAATGCATCTGATATTATTTGCCCCAAGCCCAATTTCGTGTCCCAAATATAATGACTACAGAATATTAGTGACAGCTTGGTCAACACCCTTATTTTAAGTTTGATTCACCCCTCCTTTCGTCACCCACCCCACCCCACCCCCACCCTTTTAATAAGTAGTTATAGGTTAAGGTTTCTCATTGGGATTAATGATTGATTGATTGATTTTAATTAAGTGTCACAGAATTATTAAGATACTAATTTCTGTGTAACAAGATTAATCTCCAATATTTGAAGGTGCTTTTGATCAAGTTTTATTAAACTCAAAATGTTTAGTATTTCATCAGCTCTGTCGAATACAAAATAGAAATTTACCTCTATATATATATCTGCATTTTATATGCTACGAAATTTTGCCTGTTTTACAAAGATTTATCTAACAAAATGAAAAACCCTGTCCATGAAATTGATTTAATTGAACTTTCACACTGTTGATAATAACCCTGTTTGTACATGACAATTTTACATGTGGTAGTCTCGATGCAATATATAGTTCTTCAACTAACAACCCTGTTTGTTCATGACAATTGTACTCTTGAAATATCTGTTACAATTACACACCCATGCTTTTTCCCTATAGGGTTTTTTAATGCAGGGTGCATGTTTTTCTATGTTACCATATGTTTGTCTCTCTTTTTAATAAAGAACAATTACATAGAAATGTTTCTGTTTGTTGAAAAATTGAAAGGTCCTTATTTAGTTCCTCCTCAAAGGTATGAGTTTGTTACAAATATCTTGACCCTAGTATAATTCATCAATTTTGATGACCGACTATGTCCTTGAGGCTAGGTCAGACATAAAAACTGGTATTTGCAGCTTCAATGCCAAGGACACAATCCATTTAGAAGAAGTACTTGTCTGTCATATTTGTTTTTCATAAATTATTTGGTTATAAATTAGTCTGTTAATTCTTGTTTGAATCATCTCCCCTAGTTTTGTCCTAGGGATTATATAGAAAACTTCCTGGTATACAGTATTGATTTTGCTCATTGTTGAAGGCTGTACAGCAACATTTAGCTGCTTATAATTACCCTCATTTGAACTTTGGAGCACCTATAGACTAGTTGTCTCATCGCAATCATACCACATCTTATTTTATAGACTGGTTGGCTGGAGTCAGAATATTAATTAAGGGTATGTTGATCTAGTTTGAGGTTAAAATGTCGAAAGCCACAGATCAGAAATGGAAGTGAAAGGTTTTTTGGGGAACTTCAAGGAATTATGCTGCAATTTAATCTGTATTTGGATTCATTGGCTAGTATTAGTACGTTAGAGAACCATAACCTTCGACAGGAAAACTGACAATTATAGTCCATTAAGATGAGTCAAGTGCACTTGCCACATGCAGGGTTCGAACTTACAACCTCTGCATTGAAAGGCTAGTGATACAGTAGTTTTAACTACGACAACAACGCCACCAAGGCCTCACCTAAATTTGGATATATGTTATTTAATGAGAAAGATCCTATCAAATATGATGTCAAGTTCAAGGTCACATATACGAAAACAAACTAAATGCAGTGCAGAATCAGTGTTTTCGCACATAAAACCTTGCTAGGAAGTAAACTTAGATATGGTAAATCAATACATGGAAGACCCCAAATAATTTGTTAGTCCACATATAAAGGGTAATTCATTTCAGGACGGTACCTTTGGAACATTTCACAACAATTGAGACTATTTTTGTGGTATGATTTCAACAATAGTTTACGTATTATATAAAATGCTATTCCAAATTATTCCATATGTCAAAAAAAAAACATGAATGATTCCCAATTATTGGAGAGCCAACACATGAAACATCTATGCTTAGATTACATGTATAAGTTTGCTAATAAGTCAATTCAAGGAGAACCACAATTGGTAGGTCAGTGGTATTTAGTATGCAGTTGTATTAGCATTGGCACATATCAAGTTCATGGAGATTATTTGGCCCTGCCCCTTCAGTCATGGTCTATTGACTTAGAAACTTGAGCTGAATTTACATGTTTTGTGATTGTCTGCAAGGTGATGCATCTCATTTCCATGGCTTTTTTTTTGGCCCAGCCCCCTCAGTCCTTTAAATTGCATAGTTTACATTTTGAAGTTGTGATTAATCAGTTTATGATTACTGTAAATTCAGAAACTATTGTGTGCATTTATTATTGAGATTTTGTCAGTTTAGACTTACATGCCATTTTAATTTTTACGATTTTGAGAAAAATCCTGTTTAATTCATATAAAATATTTCAAAATGCGAGATTAAATTATTGGGTTTACAACTTTGTCGCATTTTTCGCAATAATAAAAACCTGCCAATAATTTGTGACTACAGTAAACAATAACACAAAGTCAATGATATTTAGTATGTAATAGCATTCCCTCTTATATGGCCCTTCCACCCATAGTTTATTGACTTTGGAAACTTTTGCATTGTTTAGATGTTAAAGTTTGTGTTTGTCAGTTTAAAGGGAACTTACATATGAGAAGTCAATGGTATTTGGTATGCAGTTGTATTGGCATTTACAATTTTCAAAGAGGTTATTCAGCCCTGCACCTTCAGTCATGTAAAAAAAAGAAGATGTGGTATGATTGCCAATGAGACAACTCTCCACAAGAGACCAAATGACACAGAAAATAACAGTTATAGGTCACTACGGCCTTCAACAATGAGCAAAGCCCATACCACATAGTCAGCTATAAAAGGCCCTGAAAATGACAAATGTAAAACAATTCAAACAAGAAAACTAATGACCTAATTTATGTACAAAAAAATGAATGAAAGACAAATATGTAACACATCAACAAATGACAAATCACTGAATTACAGGCTCCTGACTTGGGACAGGCGCATACATACAGAATATGGCAAAGTCAAACATGTTAGCGGGATCTTTTGCTTTTTCAGTATTTTACTAATAGATTAACTTAGTTTTTTGCAGTGAATATTTACACAGTATCAGTCTGAAATTATTTTTTTTTCATTAAAACTCCTTATTTTTGCCCTAAAATCTGAACATTTTTAAATGTGATGATAATTTGATGAAGGCATATGTTATAATGTCTAATTGTTTCTGTTAAAGAAGATTTTAATCGATTGCATCATAAGTGGTGTAGTTGTGATGTCGATAATGTAGGGAAGTTCATTATAAACTGATTTTGCAAAATTTATGACCGCATTTTGAAAAAAATTAACAGTGGCCACCTACATCAACAAATACTTATGTTAGAATATTCCTCATTTACCAAATTTTTTAGTTTTCACCATAATTTCAATAGGCGAGGGGTGGTGCCACATATAAAATCTTAAAACATGGTTTAAAAAGGTTGCAAATCTCTTGAAAAAAATATGATTTGGTGAATCAACTCATTTGTCTATCTGTTAAGATGAAGAAACCATATTATGAGTTCATTACTTTGAAGTTAATGTAGTCTGAAATTTGCCAAAAAAATTTTGACATGATTATTTAACTGGAAAATTACATTGAGCTGAATGCAGACCTGAATGAATTGTTATATTAATTTAACTCCCACTAGATAATATTCTTTGCACAGAAATAGATTTTTAATTGGGAAATGGACTTTTAAATGTTATTGTCTACCAAGTTTGAAGCAAGATGAAGGGAAGTCCTAATGAACTACTGATATGATATACATACCATTATCTTAGTCTGTCCATATCAATGTTTTTGCCATATCCAAGGATTTGTATAGTAAGAAGGTTCTTTTACTATACAAATCCTTGCTATATCTATCTGCAAATGTGCACCCCACAAGTCACTGTTTTATGCGATTAATTTATTGGCTATCATAGCATAATATACAGAATGGCATTCTTTAATTAATTGCCACCAATTGTTTGTGGGAAGAATTTGTAAAATAACTTGTTACAATGTTTGCCAAAATCTACCATAATCCTTAAAACTTTTAAAACAAATAAAAACAATAAAATAAATTAAAGAATAACACACCTTTTCCTGTGAAGAAATGTGTTTACATTAGAACAAAATATTGGGGCCAAAATGGAATCATTAATAGAATCTGTGATAAAAAAAAAACTCTAGAAAAGAATAGTATACAGACTAAGGTTCTTAGTGTGAGAAAAGACTTTTAAACAGTATAATTCAAATTCTAAAACAGGCATATAAATCATAACAAAGAGAGACATATCATATACTACTTTCATCCATCCATTCTCACAACTGTCATTCTGATTGGGAATGATTCATCAGGAAACCAATTGCAATATAATCATAAGTCAGTTGACCTGTTATGTACAAAGAGGGATAACTCGAACATTTTTTTTAAAACATTTTAACACCACAGAGCATATAAACAGAACACATTAATTTATATAATGTATCTAATTGTTATTAGTAAAGGCTTGGGTAAAGATTTTTTTTATATATTTTACAGACTACTGCTTACATAGCGACAGACGAATATATGTAGCTGTTACTTCCATTTTAATTTGGGTATTTTTTCCAAACAAAAGGGTAACCTATTCTACAACTGAGAACAAATTGACTTAACTGGTAATACTTCTAACAGTCAGATATATATACAAACAAAGGAAGAAAGATAAGTTACCGATCATGATGCCAGTGGTGTCACCTTTGGTCTGATATTGGCGAATTTCTGATCTT